GTGACTTCTAAACACACACTTAATTTTAAAGATTATATTATTTTTAAAATTTTATTTTCAAATTTTTATTTAAATAAAATTTACTGACATCTTCTCTAATTTTTAAAAAATATTTATTTTAAATTAATATCTTTTAAAAGTGTTACCTCATGTTGGGATAACAAAATTTTTCCTAGTAAAATTTAAATGAAGCATTTTCTTAAATTATGCACATTAAAGAGTGTTATGAATATGAAAGAATATTTATCTTTTTACCTTTTTATATTCTTTATAACAATTTGTTTAATTCGTACTTAAAGATATGACACATGCCATTTGTATAAGAGTGTAGAAATTTTATTTTTCTCTCACTTTTCTCTTTTAATTTTCTTTCTAATCGGTTATAAGTTTATGGTAACTTTATAACGAAATTGCCTTATAAAAAAAATAATGAATACATCTATTGGCTCTCCAAAATGTTAATTGCTGTAATCTTTTTTTAAAAAAATATATAAATTACTCTTTTCTATTGGTCAGTTAAAATAATAACAATAAATACTTAATCATTATAAATTTTAATGGAGATAACTTTTAATTATTTAATCTAATTTTAAATTTTAAGATTAAAATTACAAATGATGTGACATTTTATAAAATAAATATGTGATATTAATTTTTTTTAATTTTAAAAATCTATTTATGATTATATATATATATATATATATATATATATATATATATATATATATATATAATCCCTTTGTTTTGTTGTAATCAGTTTTCTTCATACCATGAATTGGGCCTCAATCATAAATGCAACATACACTTATTATTTTATCAAAATTGTACACAATCTTTGAACAAAGAAAATAAAAGCTCACAATCTTAAATGCAACACAATACACATGAGATTCTAAGTGCACAACTATAGCTAAGGATATAGGAAGCCTGAACCCATAATTCATTTTATTAATGATTGCTCGTCTATTTTATTTGCCTAACGCATTTCGATATGTATATTAAGCAACACCTTTTGACGCCAATTTTTCACATCAATCACGATCTCTGAACCATGCTTGTGCTTACACCAAGCCGCATGCCCTTAAACCACCAACAAAATATCAATGCTAGAAAATGTATTAGTAACATGTTTACTTCAATTTAAATATAGAAAAATAATTGTTTAATTTTCATAAGATTTACAAAATAGTTAAAAAATATGTTATTTCTTAAAATAAAGTAAAACAAACATACACAACGTAAAAAAAAAAAAAAAAAAAAAAAAAAAAAAAACCATCAACAAGTTAATGTTTTTTTGGCATTTGAGCTGGGTCTCAAATGGATTAATTAACATACTAGCCAATTTTTAAAGAATAATGAGTTATTGAGTTGTGTTAAAATTAATTGTACCCCAAAACACTTTTAATTTATTTTCTTATTTTATTACCTCTCAAAAATAAATTAATTTTACTGCTTAGACAAATTTGAGAGCATATACTTGTTTCATGAGTATCCACATAATCTTCACCATGGTCTATTCCATGCCTCACATACCTTTATAAACTCTCCTTTTTTTTCACCCAAGATTGTTCCAATCAGAAGTATTAAGAATAAAAAAAGATTCAATAATAGGAAGCATGCTTTATTAATATTTTCAAGATAATTATTATTATCCCTAAAATTGTAAACAAATTCTAAAGAAATTCCTAGCAAATACTAAAATCTAGTTCTTCCTAAATTCATTGCTTGTTATTTCGCAAACGGCTTCAACTGCAAGTCTATTCTGTGGGACTTTGCACCCAATAGGTCCAAGCACGTTCTTATTAACATGAATAAGACATCTCTGTATTTTTTCTAAGGTATTTCTACAACACCATTCACATGTATTTTCAATCATTTCACATTATTCATTATCAACCAATGGCATGTCCACACATTTTCAACCACATTGTAACCAACCATTTCACCACACATCATACTCAATATCAATCATATTGTATTCCACACAAAGTTTCCATTAAAATCCAATCACAATCAAACCATTTCATCACACACACTATTCAACATCAACCACATTATATTCCATACAATCTTTCTAACTCAATCTCACTACATCAACTCATTTTCATTAAATCACACATCTTCCCACATTCTAATCATTCACATTCCAACACTTAGCCATACAAACGAATTCTAAGCAAAAAGGCATAGGGTAGAGTCCCCTTTACCTTGAATTGAAGACCCACAACACAAATCAATGGTAGAATAGCTCCCTACACAAATTTTCGTCCTAAACTCATGGAAAACTCCATGAGAAATTGAGAAAATGAAAGAAAGGGACGAAAATTGAAACCCTAACCCATAAAACTTACCTCCAAACGTGATTTCAACCTTTAATCTAGCTCGCAAACAAATTTGAAGACAGTTTAATTAGTGAAAATGAGTTGGGGATCGAGAGGATTGAGAGAGGGATGAAGAGAAAGAGTGGGAACATATTTCTCGAACCCTAAACCCCTCAAATACCCTATAAGTTACAACACTCTCGCTATAGCGAGGCACTTTCACTACAGCGAGACATTTCTCGTTACAGTAAGACCTTTCCTCACTACAGCGAAAGTATTAGAGGATTTTGCAGCTAGTTTTCTACATAATTTCGCTACAGCGAGATTGCGCTCAGAAAACACCCATTCTCTGTTGCCCTCTCATTGTAGTGAGAAGTTTCTCGTTACAGCGAGAACGCAACAGATGCAGTCCTCTCACCTAGGACCTTGTCGCTACAGCGAGAATCTATTCGCTACCGTGAGAACACCCCTGCAGTACACACTTTGCCTATATATACATCCACTTGTATTTACAACATATACACATACATTCACATCATTATATACATCAAATACATATTCAAATAGCAACCCACATATTCATATTAATAATCAAATAATCTACAAAACTCGGGACGTTACATGCTGTATGGAAGGGGACAGTGAGGTATAAATGTAGTTGGTGATGCAGATTGTGAAACTCGTTATACTAGAGGGAAGGAGGCACATGCCTAGGGTTGGATACCATGATAAATTGCTCACGCCCTTCAACCTGGAAGGTTTGCACTACAACTAGTGTGGATGTGAAAGAGGGAATGGTTGATGGAAGAGTGTTGTCACAAGCAAAATGCTGAGTAACACCTTTCTTACCTTTATCTACCATAATTTAATCAAACCTAATACAAACACACAATTAATTTTGACTCTAACTAATTTTACATCTAAATTTTAGTAAAACCAGTTTTAAATTAGTTCCTTTTAACAAAAATAAGTTTTAAATTCAGTTGATTTTGGTTAAAAGTTGTTTAAAATATGATTTTTATTTTACCAAAATTAGTTGTAAATATAATTTTTTTTAACTAAAATCAATACTTATAACTTTTTCTTTTAGAAAAGTTAAATACATTTTTAAATAAAAATATTTGAGTTCCTAATAAGTTTTTAAAGAATTTGAGAGAAAATCTATATTGCAAGGGAAACACAGATTAAAAATTTTAGTTATATAAAATTGAACTACATTAAATTAAACTTAATTACGAAACTTTCCTTTCGAATAATCCTAATATAACTTGTTTTAAACACGTACTGAGAAAAGAAAAACCAAAATTGTATTCCTATGTTATATTTAGATATTTGAGAAAGTATCGTGATAGAAATAAAAGAAAAACCAAAATTGTATTCCTGTGTTTAAGATTGTTTCTAGTTCAAAATGGGTTCAGTAAAAGAATTTGGAACTTTCAAAAGCTTCTAGTTCTATTTTTAAAATTACCAACAACTTTCACTTTAATCAAGGGATTTGATTAAAATTTATAAACAATTAAATAAAAACAAAATGTCACGATATTAATAGTTATCAAGAAGAGGTTCCTAAACCCCTTAATTCACGAGGGTACCGGAAAAATCTCTTTTAAATATTTAGTTTTTTTCAATATGGTTTGAACATGATAATAAATTATAGCTTTTTTTATTAAATCAATATATATACAGATATTTAAAATTACAAATCATGTGACATTTATAAAATGAATACGTAATCATTAATTTTTTTAAATATGATTTAGATGTAGTTGGAATTTAAGCTAACAAAATCAGTTATATCTCATAGAAAAATGACATCTCTCTCTCTCTCTCTCTCTCTCTCTCTCTCTCTCTTTCTCTCTTTCTCATATGTATATATATGTTCTTCCTTATGTTTTGTTGCATGTACTCAGTTCTCTGCAAACCAAGAATTGGACCTGAATGATAAATGCAGCATACAATTCTTATTCGATAAAAAGTGTACACAATTTTTTGAACAAAAAAAAAAAAGAATTTAAACAATCTTAAAAGCTACAGAAAACTGGTGTGCGAGAAAAAAAGCTGAAATGAAATGACAAAGAAATGATCTCTGAAGCATGCTTGTGCTTAAACTACATCGCATGCCCTTAAACCACCAACGACATAACAAAGTTAGAAAATGTACTACTTAGACTTATAGGCTGATTAGTAACATGTTTAGTTCAGTTTAAATATAGAAAAATAATTGATTAACTTTCATAAGATTTATAAAAAATTAAAAAACAAATACCAATTTTTTAAATAAACTGAAACAAACATGAACACGTGCCAAACTATTCCATAAATTAGTTAATGGGTATTTTTTGGCAATTTTTAAAGAGAAATGAGTTATTGAGTTGTGTTAAAATTAATTATAGCCAAAATACCAATTTTGAATTTTTTTTGTCATTATTTACCTCTCAGAAAGAAATTAATTTGATTACTTGGATAAATTTGAGCGCATGTACTTGTTTCATGAGCACTCACAGAACCTTCATCATGGTCCATTGCATGCCCCACACACACCTTTATAAACTCTCTTTTTTCACCCGAGATTGTTGCAATCAAAATGAAGAATAAAAAAAACTCAATATTTTCAAGATAATTATTATTATCCCTAAAATTGTAAACAAATTCTAAAGAAATTCTAGCAAATACTAAAATCTAGTGCTTCCTAAATTCATTGCTTGTTATTTCGCAAACTGCTTCAACTACAAGTCTATTCTGTGGGACTTTGCACCCAGTAGGTCCAAGCACGTTCTTATTAACATGAATAAGACATCTCTGCCTGCCAACACATCGCTGCAAAACATAAAAATATAAAAAATTAGGTACACCTTTTTTTCCCAACACTTTACGATGGAAATTAAAATAAAGTGATCTATGAAAAAAAAATGTAAATTACCCTTTTCACAACATATAAAGCTTCATCAGATTCACAATGGCCTTTTTTAAAGGATCCACATTCACCCTCCGGCACACCAAAGCTAGCAAATTTAATTTCAGATATGACTTGGTTCTCATCGCATGCTAGTTCCAATTCATGTCCTTCATAGGCATTTCCACATGCTTTTCCAACAGTTGAAGTCGCAAATTTAACTTCATAGGGTTGACCTCCTAACTCTTCAAACAACACCAACGTGTTTATATCATCTTCACGAAGAAATGAGCGTGGGATATGGTACCTACACAGAAAGAAAGTAACAAAAATTACTAGTACACATGTCATTCATACACAATATTTCTTCAATGATCATTTCAAATTATTCATGTTACCATCTTTGAGTTGGCCTTCCACACTTTGTCAAGCATTTGTTTGAGGTATATGCTCCACGGTAATCACACGTTGAACTACAACCATTCTCCTCTGCCAGATAACTGGGCCAATACCTACCAATATTGTTTCCATTTACCCAAGCTTGACCTTTTCCTAACCCTTTCAAATCTACCACAACAGGTCGGATTCCTATGGGACTCTTGAAAGTAGTCTACAAGAAAAAAAAAATTGAAATGTTAAATAAAATGTATAATATGTTAATATCTCCCTTTATTTTAATATATGATACGATTTCATGACATGAGCGAAAGCTACTTTATTTATAATGTATCCGTAGAATGACAAACAACAGACTATATATTATACGAACTTGAAAACAATTCGTTTTGTTCATCACTCAACTACTAAAAAAAGTGCAATATTACCATGAAAATGATCTAAGCATTTGACAGAGATGGTAATTATACCTTGTACCAAACAAATACTCTATCTGTTGGAAGACGAGTTGTGGACCATTCTCTGGTGTTACTAGGGGAGTAATTCTTCACCTTCTCACCGTGTATTCCCACCTTATAATTCCACACATTTTTGGTGATATCCTTGACGATCTCATCAGTGTTATTCTTTTGTGCCACCAATTGAACAGGACCACAAACACCAACTGGCACATCGTCAAAGTGGGCACCATAGTTCTATTTGAATGGAGGGGAATGTTAGTTCCATAACAAGAATCAATATTGACACAATTAATGTATTTATGATGTCGGTAGTCGTTGCTCACATGTAAACCGACGGTGCTACTAAGTAGAGTTATTTCATTTTTCCCAAGCTTCAATTTGATCTTTGCCTCATAAGTGAACTGGTATTTTCCATATCGAGCATATTGGGAACCTGTGAGGGGGAACAATGATAAAAGAAGAATATGAAATTACAATTTAGAAATAGGGTTTATATAAAAAGATAAAATAGAAAGTAGGGTTAAAAATTTTCCAGTATAAACTTACCAACATGTTCTCCATTAACAAATAAAAGAAGTACATGCCCGTTGGTTTTCACTCTTAGCTTAACATCTTTGTTCCAAATAGGGTCACTTTTGCTAATGTCAACACTGAGGATAATTTTTTCATACAAGTCAGTGACCAATAAGTAATATATATTGCTCAATACAAAATTTTTAGGTAACAAAGAAATTATTACCTGGTGATGTACCATAAGTAGTCACTAGTATCATTCGTGACAACCTTTTGATCCAAAAGGTTAGGAGAAGTCATAGAAACAGAACCAAGGATTGTGCCATTTTTCATTTGAATGAAAGGCTCATACATCCATTGCCACTTCAATGTGTGTGATTCTTCTTTCTTATTTTTTTCATCCTTCATGACCATTATGGATGTTTGAGCATTGACCTAATTTCATATTATTTAATTAGTTAGTATTAATCATACAAACTCCAATTAGTTAGCTACTTGACTTAATTACTCATGTAACACCAAAAAAGAATTATTATTCAACAATTAATTGTGATGGTGATTCTCACCTTTGCAGTGTTGTAAACTTCTGTATTACAATCTGGAAGGATAGACACAGACCATGCAGGAACAATGTATTGGTTGTTTTGAAAGTTAATTGTAGCATCATTTGTCGAATTTGCATTTCCAAGAAAGCAAACTGATTTTCCAGCATAACTAAAAACTGTGGCCTAAAAACAATCAATATTTGGAGATCAATTAGAATGAAATGATTAAAATAGCAAGAAATATAACATATAATTTAAAACTATAAATCTAAATAACTTGCTAGATGAAATTAAAAACTTACTGTCATCATATTTCCATATTCAACGTTGTTGGAGGAACCTAGAGTCAAGACTTTTTCCATTGATTTTAGGAGCTCATGAAGTCTTTTTAGATGTCCCCACTTAGGTTGATTTAAATTACCTACATTAAAAAATTATTTCATTGCCATATCAATTAAAAATGTGACATAAAAAATATCATAATTTTTGGAAATATGATAAATATTATATTTTTACAAAATGGGAAGACCTTGGATAATAATTTTTAAACCTATGATTTACCATATTCATCCAAAGGAGCATCATAGTCATATGAAGTGGTGATGTATGGGCCTCCTGAAGTTCGTCCAAAATTGGTACCTCCATGGTACTATTGTGAGAAAAGCAGAAAGTAAAATTTTAACAAAAAAAGATAATTTATAATTAAAATACAAAAGCAAGTCAATTTAACTAGTTAACTACCATATAGTAGTTTTGGAATGTGCCACCATATTGGAAAAATCGTGCAACAGCAAAAGCAACATCCTCAGCAGTTCTATGTGGGTTTGGTCCTCCCCAATTCTTGTACCTAGTTGAAAGCGTCTCATTATTTTAATGATTATTTTGCAATTAAGAAAAACAACAGAAAAATGAATTGAAAATCTATTGAAATTTGAAAATGAAGAACAAACCAGCCAGTCCAATTCTCGGTCCACATCTTCGGTTTGTTCTTGCTGTTAGGATAAAATTGGTCACAGTACCACCCATTACACGTGTTAATCTAATTTAGGGCAGCCAAGAAAATAAATAAATTAGTAATTATTTTATAAATAAAAAAATTCAAAAGTTAATTTAACAAATTTAATTTGTATTACCAAGGGATCAGGAGCATCATTCTGTTGACACATGACCCAAGGAACACCAATTTGGTAAGATTCAGCCAGTTGAGCACACCATTGGACATATTGTTTACCACCTTCACCATATGATTGCATCACATTTCCATATTCATTTTCAATCTATTTCAGTGCAGAGAGTCAGTATATATACACACAACATAAGATAAATGTTATAATTAATAAGGATAAATAATTATTAGGGAACTGCTACAAATTAAAACTAAACCTGAGCAAGAATAATGGGTCCTCCTTGTGATGCAAAGAGCTTCTCACTGCTCATCTTGTCAACTATCAAAGTCGTGAAGTTTTTCATCTCAGCCTGCAAAAATAAAACATTTCACTTTTGATTACATGTGTGTCATACAAAATATATGATATTTTAATTTTAGTTTTTGTATTTTTTTATTTTATATTTTAACATTTTATTTATTTTGATCCCTAAAACATATAAGGAAGCATAGTTACTTACCTCAAAAACAGCATTGTTGGTCCTAAATTCGATGTTTGGAATGTTGTGCAACCACACCGGAAAACCCCTGAAAGATTACAAGAGAGTAAATAGATCAAATTAGCTAAGCAAAGATATGATTTAGGTAACCATGAAAAACTTGTTTTAATATTCAGTAAGCAAAAGTGTTAGCATTTAAAATTTCTTACCCATAGTTCCATTCTGCACACACGTATGGACCAATTCGAAGCATGGCATAAAGCCCTTGATTCTGAATCGTTCTAATAAATCTCACGAGATCTAGATTTCCAGAAAAGTCATACTGAAAATACAAAGAAGAAAAAAAGATTAAAAATAGTGTCAAAAACGAAATTTATATGATGAACTATAAGATTTAGCTAGAATATATATAAAACCTGGCGACGTTGAGGCTCGTGAGCATTCCAGAAAACATATGTTTCAATAACATTAAGTCCACCTTTTTTTGCTTTCTCAATCAAAGATGGCCACATCTGTCATAAAAAAATAGATCAAAATTAATATAATTATTTATGGTTTTATACAAATTGTAATAGTGAGACATAGATCAATGGTTAACAATAGAGTCTTCGAAACAGAAAAAAAATAAAATGTGAAAGTAAGAATATAATTAAATGGATTTATAAAAATCATGAAACAGTCATAATCGATCGTTAGTAATTGGGAATTTTTTAAATAGAAAAAATAACGTGAAAGAATGATGATACGATGATACTTACTTCAGCAGTACTACGAGGATAATGAATTGAACCAGAGATTAAGACTCTTCTCTTGCCATCAATCGTAATTGCCCTTCCATCATACGAAACATTGGCAGCTTCGATAAATGTGCTAACAGAGACCAAACATAATAAGAAAATTAAAGTGATTCTCCCCATTTTTTCCATCACCGTACCAAAACAAAAGTAACTCTCACGGTTTATTTATAATGAAAGAAATAGACTTGAATTTGAACTCTAGCTGATTTTTCGAACTAAGAGGTCTTTCAGTTATGGCAGAGAATCTTATCCTTGGAGAAATCATTAGTTATCTAATATTTTCAATTTTATTGTAACGTTATCGCTGACAAACTATATAATCTGTAAATTTAAATTTTAATCTGAATGTTTCAGAAAAAAAAAATTGAATTAATAAACTAATCTTAAACAAAATCTACAATTAATACCCTAGTTAACAAGTTGATATTATGTAATCTACAAACGTTTACAGCTGTCACATGTATATAGTTTTCTTAAAAAAATGTTAAATGTTCTATTAATAATACTTTACCAAACTTATCAAATTAAATCGATAAATGTGGTTTACTTTTTATATTTTATTAATTTTTACATCTATTGATTATTTTCTTTCTATAAATATTTCAATAATTAATTTATATCTATAATGTATGATATGTCTAAAATATATAAATCTAACATTGAATTTCCACAACTGTTAGTTTCTTGTTTTTCCATAAAGAGTATTTTAGGAAACCTATAAAATTAAACTTAAAATAAAATATACATGAAATTACCTTTATTGTTTATGTCTATTAGACTATTACTCATTTTCTTATTTTAATATTTTAGTAATCTATAAAAATATGTAGTATGTAATATATCCATTTAACACTATATTTTAAATAGTTTATACATTTAACATTTGTAGTTTTCTTATAAATTATATATAAAAGTTGAGTTAAACCACGAGAAAGTAAAGATAATTAATTCTCTCCATTACTCAGATGAAAAAACAAAATTTTGTATATTAAATATTTTGAAAATAAGAATAATTTTAAAATAAAATTTATATAGTAATAATTTTAATAGTAATGGAAGAAAAAATGGATAAAAAAAATGAAAAGATTCTGAGTTTGATAATAAAAATTGTACTCTAAATTTGAAACAGTTTCAATTAGAAAAAAAAAAACTATGTAACTTTTTTTTTTCGGTGGAGGTTTAACTAATCAGAAATATTGTAAACGACCGACAAATCATTCAAAAAATATTATAGTTTAGATTGAAATCCTCCTAAACATGCGAGTTAGGCAGATGAGCTAAAACAAACAAAAAACAAACAACTTGATCATGTAACTTTTTCGATTAAACTTTAAAAAAAATTCAATTTGAATTAAATTCAAATTATACATTCGTCATTTTATTCTAAATTCAAACCCTCGTTGTAAAATAATTAATTAATAGTTCGTGTACAGAAAAACAAAACTATTTAGAGTTATTTTAGAGAGTTACAGAAAAAAATAAATCCGATCATTCAATATTAGATAATAGATATAGTGTTAATATTGAATGTTACCAAACTTTAAGATAGATGATTCTGTTGATACTAAAAGGTATATGTATTAAAATTGTATAATTGAGTTGAATTTAGAGGTGTTCGACCTTCGACATATTTTATTATATGGATATGATATTATAAATATGAATGTTTGTTGATGACTTGTGTATGTTGAAATTGGTAAAATTATGTTATCGATGAAAAGTGTTATATTATTCTCAAATGAAGAAAGAGTTTTATATATAAAAGTAAATAATATGATATGACGAAGGAATTATGAGAGATGTGATTATAATACGTGAGTTAGATAGATTAATGGATGTTATTATGATACATGTATTGTGATACATCGAAAAGTGTACTCATAATATACGTATTGCAATAGATTAAGTTATATGATTAAGACTCACGTAGTATGACACGTTGATCTCTGAGAAAGATATGGAAAAAAATAAATGATTTGAGAAATATTGAGAATAAGTATAAATAGTCACAAAAATACTAGGGTGTGGAAGATGGGGGCGATTGTAAAGATATAGGAGAAATGATAGTGGTGGATGCTTTTCCATGATTGCACAAAATTAACGAAAATAGAGAGAAAAGGCACCGTAGACCTCACACTCATTTCTTGACCTATACCCCTGATCACTACATCTTGGCGAAAAAGGGCTGGGTCGGCACATTTGTATGTCTATGTTATTGCGGCCAACCAGCAGCTATCTATGCTATGAAGTCTTCAAGGATCTCAGGGGCAATGAATATGACAGTGTATTAAATGTGAAAGTATGATGAATATGAAGTAGTATAGAAATTGTACGATTATAATATATGCATTGTAACGTATCAATTGATGTTGTTAGGATATATGTGTTATAATATATCGACAGGTGCGATTAGAACACATGTATTGTGAAATATTGATTGATGTGGTATAATATATGTATTATGATATACAAATTATTGTAAAAATGTATGTCATAAATAATTGCAAAGATGATTGATTTATTGGATGTGTGTGCTCCACTGTGGCAAGGATTTATATGCTCTGAATATTATTTTTAATTCAATACATATATATTAAATAATATTTTCAGTATTACATTTATATATACATATATATATATATATACATGTTTCTTCTATCGAATAAGAAATTTAGTAGAGTACGAGATACTCACCTTTACTAATATTTTTCAAATAATGAAAGTAAAGAGATAAAGGCGAGTGGTCCGTCTAAGTCCATAATCCAGTGACCTTGTGAAAGAATATTGCTTTGTATGGTTTAGAATAGTTTAAAAAATTGTAATGTTTTATTAGACTTACATTTTAAGTTGACAAAGCTCTATAAATACTTTAAATGTCAATCTTAAAATTTTAAAATACTTTGATAAATTTTGTTGTAATTAATAATTTTTGAAGTGTCAATGATTATGTCTCATAATTATATGCATGCATTATAAACTAAATAATTTTGTTGTAATTAATAATATTTTTTATATCATGATTTTAAGGAAAGCCTTATAGTCTCATTATTTAAAATAAGATAGTACGGATTTTCCTGAATCAAAATACATAGATGAGACTTAGGGTTGGAATTAACTCCCCTTACCTGGAAATAGACTTCTCAGACTGAACTTTCTTAGAGATCTAAGAGAGAGGTACCATGTTTCTGATGGAGGATATCGTCTTAAAAATCAAGGTTTCCTTAAGTATTATAAAGTATTAAACTTTATATTGAAAGAAAAATGAGAAATAGGAATGAAGTTGGAGAACTAAGCTCCAAGAAACTTACTTAGATGTGAATAAAATAGATATTTGAGCTCAGATTCGAAGAGATTTAGAGTTATAGAAGGCTTTCTCTAGAAAGGAAGAGAGAGGGGGAACGAAAAGAATAGAGAGGAAGGGGTGGTTTTGGTGAAAAATGAAATTTCTCAACGTGAACCCCCCTTAAATACATTTCAAACCTGTGCGTTCTTGCTTAAGCGAGTTAATTCTCACTTGGGCGAACCCTTCCTTGCCTAGGCGAAAAAACCAGTCAATGGTTTTACCCAATTTTCTGATTTCTCACCTGAGTGAGCAACATTCTCTCTTGAGTGATATTGGGTCCAAAGAACTTCTTGTTTTCTTGCGAATCCTTGCTTGAACGAGCTTTATCTCCCCTGAGCAAGTTGCTTTTTGCCTGGGCAAGACTCCTTCTTGCCTAGGTGGGAGCACAATTGGGACAACTTTATCCTATCTCAGTTTAGCGAGATTTATCCCGCTTGAGTGAGATTGCTCTATAACACTTTCTTTTAGAAAATTCTGTCTCACTTGAGCAAGACCTATCTTGCTTGAGCGAGAAACTCTATACCAAAATTCCTATTCTCCCATACAAGGACAACAAAAATGAGATTGTTACATAAGTGATTTGGGTTTCAAAGGAACTCCCTTTGCTTGATAGAAAGATAATTTGAAAGAAACGTTCTCACGACCCGATTTTGATAAAAATTTGTAGATTTTTTTTTTCATTTATAGAAATTAAAAAAAAAATATTAACTCAAGACCATCAACTTTTTAGAATATTAATAGGTTACCCATAGTAACTCATGGTTAGAAACCCCTGAAATTTTTAGCTCCTTAACTTACCCACAGTAACTTTTCAAATTAAGTTAAAAATTCTTGATTTTTTTAATATTTCTTGAGTTAGAGAATATTAGTAGGATCTAAACAAACATTACTTATTAGAATAAATCCTCTGAAAAAAACTTTAATAGGAAATATAAAATTTTCAATAGGATGGAAGAGATTCATAGATTAGCTTTAGACGATAATCTTTTTTTGTGTAAACCTTATGAAATCATTATGACAGAAATATGAAAACATTCATGATCAAGAAGAATTTTATTAGTTTCATCATTATTGTTCTAAATAACCCAAATTAGGAAATAGAAATACTAATTTTGTTTCATAAAGCTATTGGTTGAAGGATTGTAATAATGTTTGGGGTATAATTATGACAAAATTAAAAAAATTACTTTTATTTGTTTTAAGAGCTTGTACATTAATGCTATCTAGCATTCTAGTAATGTATTTTTTGATATATTATTGATAAAATACTAATCGTATTTTCATTCATGTATATCATTAATAAAAAATCTCAACCTTCGTTATGTGTCTTCATCTTTATTAACTCATTTGTTTTAGTACGATATTGATAAACATTGTGTGTTCATCATTTATAAAAGTGCATATTTGCTTGCAATCTTCTTACACTTTTGAGTTTTTATTTACATTTTAAGTATGACAAACACTAATTTTACTCCAATTTAAATATGTCATTGATAAACATCTTAAGCTTCATTTTTTTGTTTTTGTCTCTATTAACTTATTTGTTTTGATACGATATTAATGAACATTGTATCTTTTTTTTTATAAATTCAACAAAAAAATACGAATCTCCTTACTTTCATGAGTTTCTTTTTGTGATTTTGTGTACAATGAACACTAATATAATTCTAATCTTGTACTTAGAAAATGTAATTTTTTAGATCGGTTATTCTTAATTGTTGTAAAATTTTTTACATCAGTTTTATAATCAATATAAATTTAATTTACCAACTCATATAAAATGTCA